CCAGCCGCTCCATCCTCTGGGCCTTGGGAACTGACTTCCCGAGGCATCATCATCCCTTCCACCCACCCCGATGATCCATCTCAGGCCTCCGGGGTCCAACCACTTCCTTCTCCTGTGAGTGGGGCTATGTAAACACGAAGACCAGGATGCCATTTACTGGTACTGGCTGACCCCAGCGGGCTGCCAGCCACGAGGGATCAGGGACTATATTCTCCCAGTCAGCTGTGAGCGCTTCGTGGCATTCCCTGCCCGGGAGAGCTTTACTGCCTCCTCCTTCCCTTCTGAATGAAGTGTCCTCTGTTCCTAAGGGATTTGTTTTTATTTAGTTCTTTCCAGTGTTTTTGCCCTTTAATATAGCTGCTCCAAGAGGGAGCTTTAGGAAGTGCTTCAAAGCAAGAATTCCAGCCAGAGTGCCTGAGTTCATAAATTGACCCTAGCTCTCAAACACTGAGTCCCTTAGACCAAAGGCTAAGCCATGATGTATCTCAGTTTTCTCAACTGGAAAACAGACAAAGCAACGCCAAGCCAATGGGATTTCTGTGGGACTTTAAGGGGTGACAAGATGTATAATCAAAGCTTAATGCACAGTAAGTTCCTGATATGACACCAGTTTGTCTAGCTCTACCCCTGCATTCTTTACACTGTTCTGTCCCCACGCCTGCTGCTGTGGGGAAAATGTCAGATGGAGCACCTTGAACTGGAGACCTCACTTTGCTTTGTAGAATGGGGAATTTTGAAGAAGACCACTCCCAGGCTGGCCTTTGGGTTCCCTACATCTGGATGGAGGCACAAATGTGTTTTCTCAGGCCTGTGATCCTATGGTCTTTCTCCCCTGTGCTTCTGTGTGTTTCTAGCCTGTCCTTCTGCATCACAGGCTCTCAGAGTAGAAGACATACATCTGTCGGTCGCTAGCCCCCAGCTCCTTCTCCGGAGAGGAGGGAGGGGTTGTTATAAGATAGTCACTGCATTGGATGTCATCAGTTAGACGCTGTCTGTCAAGCCTTAACTGTCCTGTGACCCTGGATGAAGTTTTTCACATTTCTAGATTTCGGCTTCCCCAGTTTATTAAATGATCTTTGTAACTCTTTCCTTTTTGTTGTTTTTGTTTGTTTGTTTGTCTTTCGAGACAGGGTTCCTCTGTGAAACAGCCCTGGCTCTCCTGGAACTCACTCTGTAGACCAGGCTGGCTTCGAACTCACAGAGACGCACCTGCCTCTGCGATTCAAGGATTAATCGCAGGGATTAAAGGCATGCGCCACCACCACCCCCCTGGCTATCTTTGTAACTCTTTCAAGCTGAGCAAAGGCTATGGTATTGAAAAACCCATTCCTCCTGGTCAGCGTGTGCTGTGGAGCGGTGGCCCTCCTGCTTACCTGCAGCACCATAGGCTGCCATGGTGTCCACAACCCGAGGGTCAGGTGCAAGTCAGTGGAGTGGGGTTCTAGCTCGGGTTGCTCTGGAGACAGAGAAGGGTTCGATGTTGCTCTCCTCATCTCATCTCTGTTCTCCCTTGTGGACATTTGGTTCTCACAGTCAGCCATGAGCTGCTGCTTCAAAGAGCTTGGACTCCTCACAAAGACAAGCTTACGCAGGGTGATCCCATGTTTGTTTGGATATTAAGAAAATGATTTACAGAATCCGGGACAGATCCCCAGAAGGCCATTCGATGTCAGACCTTGAGACAATCCTCACTGGGTCTTGGTGATCATGTCTAGGAAACAAGAAGGGGTGGGACTTCTCCCGGATTCACAGATGCGAGCTTCCCAGTTCCTTTTCCCGGACTGGGCTGTACTTTCTAGTAACTTCTCTGATGCACAGCCAGTTAGTTAAGGGGAACCACTGGAGTGGGGGGACTTGTGGACTTGTTTGTTAAGGATTCTGTGTTCTTTGCTCCTTCCTCATGCCCATGGGAGAATGAAGAGTAGTTAAATATTATTAGGTTGTGTGTGTGTGTGTGTGTGTGTGTGTGTGTGTGTGTGTGTGTGTGAGAGAGAGAGAGAGAGAGAGAGAGAGAGAGAGAGAGAGAGAACACTGTCAAACACTGATAATGTTAATAATCTTCCTACAAATGTCTCCTCATTAACCCTTCACATTAAATTCTTCCGTTTTTGTTCTCTGACAGTTTCATACATGTCTGTGGTGAATTTTGGTCCCTTTCAATCCCACCCCCTGTTACTTTCTCTCCTCCTCCTTGGTCTTCCAAGGAAATCCTCTTCCCCATAAGCCCTCTCCCGCCTCCCACTTCATGTATTTGTGTGTGTGAGAGAGAGACAGAGACATTCAGAGACAGAGAGACCCGCTGATTTGAATTAGGCTTGCTTATGAAGCGCGTGGGTGGGTGGGTGTTCGTTGACTGAATCATGGACCACTTAACCAATGACCAGACCCCAGAAGAAAATGACAGTCTCTCAGCAGTAACCATTAACTGCCAACAGTCCCTCAGGAAGCAGTGGACCCTGTGACCCTCTCCTGTATAATAGGACTATTTCTGTGAAGTCGTTGAGCTCACCAGGAGATATGATGTTTAATGATGTGTATTTGGAGATGGGGGACTTCTGGAAGCATCTTTTGAGTATCAGAGTGAACCAAATGGATAGAAAACACTAGGGCAGGATCATAGCCATGCAGTGAAGACTTAGTGTTCTGAACCTCCGGGTTATTCAGTTGAAGGTAGCCTGGACCTGTTTGGGTGAGTGACATTCACTTATGCCTCCCGAACCACTAGTAATTTGAAAGTGGTTGGGAGAGAAAATAGGTGGTGGGGGACATGGGAAACCTCTCCTGATGTCTGGTCACCATCACCCCAAGAGCTTCCGTCTCGTTTCTAGAACCTTCTTGGCTTCACCTGGCCTCACAGGCTTTGCCAAGAGGTGGAGAAAATGGCCTTCTCCTCTGGCCCTTTGGAAATTCACTTTCTTTAGTGTTTACACCCAGCCTTGTGTTGGACAGCCCAGACTCTAGGGCTGGAAATAGAATTTATGGGTACGTACCCACAGGACCCTCTTCCTCATTTATACCACACCCTATTTTCCAAAAACACAGCTCCCAGCTTCACAGTCTGCTCAGAAAACACTCTCTCATGGAGGACGTTCCAAAGTGGCTGTTTTCTCTATCATTTCCTCCCCCCACTTCACTTCCTGTTTTTTTTTCTTCCTCTTTCTCCGCCCCCACCCCATCTCTCCTGGCATGTCCAGGCTGTGTGAGAACAGGAACAAAGCTCAGAGCCTTGATAATCATGATTTCCTGTGGTGCCCTCTGGCTGCAGCTGCACAGAGCCAGAGTCCAACCTCCCTGAGGCAAACAGAGAGCTGGGCAGTAAGCCTTGGCTTTCAAAGACCCCCTCCACCCTGCCCCGGACAGAACCTAGTAAGAATAATCCTCCCTGTCTTCCTGATGGCCTCCAAAGCACTTTGTCCTGTATTTAAGGAGGACAATGCATGCACACACAACTTTTGATTTTTGACCCCAATAAATGTAATCCAACTGACATGAACAGAAAGATCTGGGAGTTAGATGTGGACTTATTTTTTTTTTTCTTTTTTATATTTTAACTTTTGATCAGATTCATCTGGCTACTTCTCTCGTAGCCCCTCCCTCTAGTGGCAAACTCCTTTTTCTCTTTCCAAATAGTCTACCTCCTCTTTCCTTGCATGTGTGTGCGCATGTGTGTATGTGTGCGCGCGCGGCGCACGAGTGTGCAAGGAAGCCTCATGCAGGTCGAACTCATCTCTTTCTCTATAGTGCACTTTCTTCACGCCTCAGCAAATAGCCTAGCTGTAAAATTCAGGGTTCTAGTTGTTTGGAAAAATGAAATTAACAGTACCTGAGAAGAAAAATTTTAAGCCACGTTGGGGAAATGCGCGCGTAGAGGTCACATGATGTGCCCGGGAGATAGGATTTGGTTAGGAAATGTTAGATACTTGTGTAGCTTCGCTCAGTTCTGTTTTCTGTGTTGAAGTGTGGCTGTTCAAATACACGGGACAGTCAGAAAATCCCTTTAAGAATTGGTACACAAGGGGAGAGTCCATATCTTTTCCTATTTTTCTGCAACAGGGAGAAAGAGAGGAGAGGGTGGAGAGAGGGCGGGGGAGGGAGGGATTGACGGGGATGAGGGGTTGGGGGGGATGGGGATGGGGACGACTTGTTGCCACTAAAAAGCAAAGCCCACCTACCGCTGTGTCCCTGGTTCAGTCTTCTGTAACAATATTTTTATAATGAGAAACATGGACAGCATCTGAGTCACATGCCTGAGATGGACTGTTTTACCAGTTTAGTTCCCTCGTGGTAAAACCATTAAAAAAAAAAAAAAACTACAAAAACAGAAGCCTGGGGAAAGGATCACCTCTCTGTGAAATCTGTTTTTTAAAGGGAGGGGAGCTGGTCTCAATGTGTTAAGTGCCTGCTGGGCCATTGTGAGGACCTACATTCAGATTTTCAATACCCATACCCATGCTGCACAGGCATGGGGACCCACTTAATCCCAGTGCTCAGGAGGCAGAGTTGGAGGGGGGGGTCCCCAGGGCAACCTGACTAGATAGACTGGCCAATAAGTGAGCTCTGGGGTCAGTGACAAACCCTGCCTCAGTGTGTACAGGGAAGACTGATAGAAGATACCCCTTGTCAACCTCTGGCCTCCACACGCATGTATGCACACACCCCCCGTGCACACAAGGCCCCCTACGTATATGAACACACATGCATACATACATACAGAAAAAGCCTTCCCATCGAGGGCCAGCAACCAGAGAGTCCAAAGCCAATCCGGACCCTCTCCTAAACCGATGATCCTCAAAAGATGCTGTTTTCTTCTTCCGAGCCTTAGTTTTCCCCAACTACAGAGTGAATGAATTGGACAAGTTGGTCTCACTCACGGATGTCTTTCCGTATTAGTAATCCCTGCCCCTGTGACTTTCTGTGCCTGGCCTCACAACTGCAGTGTGAGGAGAGAAGACCTGGAAATGGCCTGTCCTAGTAACACGACTTCCATCCCTTTTCTGCAGGCTACCCCTCCTAGAGCGACAGAGACAGACGCTCAGGGACCAACAGTGTTGACTCGGGGAGCTCCTTCCTGTGGCCTCCTAGCTGCCCCACTGCCTTCTCCCTTCAGCCTGGATTGGTGACACACGGCCGCTGGAGATATTTCCAGGTAATGAACTGCCGAGTTGGAGGACGGCAGAGATCGGGTAACTGGCACTTTGGTAAGGAAGGGTGTAATGTGTATGTTCGTAGAGCACCCCGAAGCACGGGGCTTGTCCACCTCCCTAGGTTTTGTCGTCTTTGATTAGAAGCTGTGCCTCCTAAAGAAAAAAACTAAATGAAAAGGGACCTAAATAAGAATTGACGTGTACCCCAAGGAAGCTATGATTAGTATGTGGTCTAAGGCGTCTGGGCTTTTTTAGCTGTGTTCTCCACCAGTGTCTGGGTCGCCCCGGGTGTCTGGAATATTTAGGCCCGAAGCAGTCGATTAGCGTGACGTGTGGGGAAGGAGGAGCAGGTTAGAGCTGGAGCTTAGTCGCTCTCTCTTGTATCATCCAGCTAAGACGAAGCACGCTTGAAGTCCTCTCTACCTTTACTAGCTAAGCACACTGAGAACAGCAGAAGTCCTTGGGTAGGCGGCCTCCTGAGGTGGGTTTTAGTTGTCCTGTTAGGGGCCCGACTTGCATCCCATTTGCAACGTTTTTAGGGAGAAAGGCAGCTTATGGGGTTGTCCTCCAAGGGCCCTTGTGATACGCACACAGACCGCAGTGTCCCTTTCTCGTTGGCCGTCCCAGACTGTTTCTCTCGTACTCCTCTCCCTTACTGTGCCCCATTGATACCGGGCAGTTTTCCTTTTCCTATGAGTCGGACAGGGCCACACCTATTTGAATTTCTCCATTGAATTTGTGTATGACGGAGGCTGGAAGGCCTCCCCATTTGACTAAAGCTCTCTGGGGCTTCGGCTTCCGGGGCTCCCACTGACTAGCTCATCTCCCTCAGGCAGACCTGGGACGCAGCGTAGCTAGATCAGGGAGGATGGAAGCAGCATTCTTCCACCGAAATGATTACCCGCTTCTCAGTGGAGTTAGCTGTCTCTACCTCCTAGGCTCAATCAAGCTCTTTTCCATAGAGCTGATCTTCATTTTCCTTGGAAGCTAAAACCAGAAGGAGTTCATGGGCATCAGAGAGAGGATAGAGCCGAGCTAGGGGACCGCTGAGGCGTTCGCGGACATTCGGTTCCCAGAACCTTCAGCTCCGCACTTTCTCGTTCATTCTTTGGGGAGTAGCCTAGCCTGGGGCCCCCTTCCTTTCCTCCTCTTGTCTTTTTTTTCTCTAGTGTGCTCCCTGAGCTGTGGGACCATTCAGAGGAAGGAGAAAAAGCACCGTGAGTTCGAACCACCCCAGGGTGTGTTCGGCACTGTGCACTGACTCTGCTGACCTCGTTGCTAAGCTGCTGAACCTGTGTCTCTCTCTACCTGTCGCGTGGGGACAGTGATGGTGTCCACAGCTGCGGGCGGGGACTAAAAGACATAATCCATTGACATAGCTTCTTACGCCCAGTGAGTCATAGCAAAGGTTAGATCCTTTCCCCACCCCATTTTTGTAGAGCTACTTAATCACAGCTCTAGCCCCATGATGGATTCCGTGGCCTGTGCGCCTGTAATCTGTGGGCGGACGCTGTCCCCAACACCAACCAGCAAGGCCCCAGCAGTTGAAGAAAGCGAGGCTATCACCAGGCTTTGTAGCCCAACACTTCTCTTTGGCTTTGGCCAGAGCGCCCTCACCAGCCATTTGGAAGCTTTGCTTTTTCCTCTGCCCTAAGCAACTTCAGGACCCACCCCTCTCCCAATGCCTTGACCATATCCCTGGTTCCCTGAACTACCAATTACAAGCCCTCCCCCTTCCAGAAGCTTCTTGTCTTCAGACCAGCACATACCCACGGTCTAGAAGTAGGTTCATGCGATTTGGGGCAAGGGTTCTGCTCTGAGACTCGGAAAGTTCAGTTCCAACTACAGTCTCCTCCAGACGTTCTTCCTAGGCGGTGAGCTGTTAGGGGCATTTGCCACCCCCACACCCCCAGGGGGCCATGCATTCATTCAGCAAAAATGTGTAGAGCATGTGTTATGTGGCACGTGGCAGGTGTTTCTTAGTGCTAAGGATAACAGTCTACTAGGAGCTGGCGTCTGAGTAAGGCCAGGCAGGCATCAGGACGGAGGAGCACGCGAGCAAGAGAAAGCGACTTCAGCACAATGGGAAAAATACTGCAAACAAAAAAGAGCTAAATAAATCTGAGCCAGAGGGCCAGGCTGTCCGAGGAGAGAGGTATTGCTACAGCGAGGGCCAAGCAGAAAACTCCTGATAAAGAGTTATTGTCTCGGAAGGATTGGGAGAGGTGAGAAGGAATGCCGAGATAAAGGCCCCAGGGCATTGTGCCGCCCTTATGGAACTAAAAGTAGCCAGTGGGGTTGGAGCAGAGGAATCCCGGGAGAGTAGAAGGAGGCAGGCAGAAAAGTGTGGGCAGGTAATAAGGATCCTTGAAGGCCACTGTCAGGACACTGGTGTTTATGTCCTGGCTAACTTGTCCCGGTTCCTTTACCATTCCTCTCTCTTCCCCAGTACCTCTCAAAAGTCTCCTCTCTAAAACATCCCTAAATAGACACAAAGATAAGTGCTCTTACCCAATATTGTATTAGTCATCCATTCAAAGAAGTGTTTCTGGGCTCTGGCTCCAAGACTGGAGATCAGTGAGTCTTGGCCCTGGCCTTTGGAGTCTCCCTGGTGCCTGTTCAAGGCTTTGGGGAGAAGTTCATCAGTAGGTTAGGTCCAAGTGACTAGTTGCCCTAATTTGATCAGAGTACAACCAGTTTGCTAGCGTAGGATTTTTTTTCTCCCAGAACCACCCAAAGGCCATTTCCACCAACGCTTTTGGAGTTCATTTACATAATAGCCTTTTGCCAGGACTTGCCTTCAGGCTAATCGAGGTGGGGGAGGGGGGATCAATTTCATTCCGTAAGTGTTAGGGTGCTCATTCCCTGTCAGCACCTACACTCAGTCCTCAACCCAACTGCTGATTAGAGTCCACGCCCACGCCGTGGTTGTTGATGGTTTTATCAGACTATGTAGCCTGCAACACGTAGTTATCAGTCGTAAGGCCAAGGGGGTGTCAGGGAACCTCAGCAGAGGTCACTGACTCAGACCCAGGGCAGCCAAAGGCCAGAGTGGAGAGGCTCCCTGGGGGTGTTTTTCCACTCAGACCTAGGGAGGAAGTCTACAGGTAAAACTGAGGGAGGCCAAGAAACTTGACGGCAGGCAGGGTTGAGGACTCTCTGGGACGTGATGTGACGCAGCAGGAGCAATGGCCTTGGCTGCTGCTGTGAACTCTGCTTTCCTGGTGGCTGTGGCTGGAATTGGAGAACCCAGAGCCTCTGTGCAAGCTGAGGGGTCAGCAGAGAGCCCTGTAGGCCAGGTCAGGTGGTTTGAACTTACCGGAGGACGTGCATAGCGCTCTTGACAGGTTTTAAGTAAGGATGGATGGCCAGGGCTGGGGAGGTGTACCTCAGCTGGGAAAACTGTTGGTCATGCAAATACGAGGACTTGAGTTTGATCCCCAGTACCCATAGTGGCCCACTCTTAATAATCCCAACACTGCTGGGCCAGAGACAGACAGTCCCAGGGCTTGTTGACCAGGAAGCCTCGCCCACTTGGTGAGTCCCAGCCCAGGGGTAAATCCTGTCTGAGGAAAGTAAAATAGAAAAATGGGCAGTCATTTCTTGAGGAGTGGAACCCTCTGTCCTACACAGATGCCCTCACCCCTCACCTGCCCACACACGCACGCATGCACACAAATATATGTGCACCCAAATACACATGAACATGCACACACTAGCACACACACACACATATACACCCACCCACAAATGTGTGACCAAATATACATGAACATACACACACACACACACACACACACACACACGCACGCACGCATGCGTGCATACTGGTTCTCTCTCTCTCTGTCACACGCACACACACACACACACTCACATACACTCACACACACACGAGAGGCACACGTGCACATATCCACAAATACGTGTGCTCAAATACACATGAACGTGAATACACACACACACACAAATATATGTATATCCAAATATACATGAGCATCCACACACATTCATTCTCTCTCTCTCTCTCTCTCTCTCTCTCTCTCACACACACACACACACACACACACACACACACACACACACACACACACACGCACTGGACGGCCTGATAGGATTGGAGTTTCAGAAAAGAAAGGCGTGATTTCCTTTGTCCCCCGACCCCAGTTCCTTTGACTGCCTCCTCCTGTTACTGGAAGACACAGTCTTCTCGGGTCTACAGGAGATTGGCACAATCAGTTCCACACAGTCTTCATGGTGGTCGATGGTTCCAAGGGCCCCTCCACCGCCTGGTGACCAGAGAGTGCTGCAGTAGGTTTTGCATACTGACTTGGTACACCAGTTGCTCAAGCGGTGGTTGGACCGGAAGCCCTCTCTCTGATAGGCAGGCGGCCTGGCTGATGCGCATACTGTTCTTGAAGAGGCAGAGACTGGAACTCAGGTCCTTTACATGTTCCTTCAGTTAGAAAACAAATGGATCATTTCTACCTCTTGACCCTCTATCCACTGACGTGAAAAGGAAGTTCCCCTTGGTAAGATAGGCATTCATTAAAAATGTACCGTGTTTTTTAAGTTTGGCCATGCACCCAGCTCGGCCTGTGAATGCCAGCAACTGGACACGTTTGAGGAGTCTACAGTTAATTGACAGAGACAGCAGAGCTAATAGCAAGAAGAGCAGCTCATAGATAGGAGGCCTGGCGTGGACCAAGTGATGTGAGCAGGATGAGAAGCATGCCGTCTCTCTCCATAGACATCAGGGAAGGTCTTAAGAAGGTCTCTGTGAGCTGGGCATTGAAGGATGAGTAGGAATTGGAAGAGGAGCTCTCCTGGTACAGAAGCACCTATAAATAGGGACTGACACTCAATTCTCTACGCCAGGAGTAGGGTGAGCGGCAGGAGAGCTTGTCATGCACAGATCATGCCTCAACTTGCTTTTTAAAAATCCATTAGGAGCTGCCTCCTCATCCTCCCACCTGTTCCCAACAGTGACTAACAGGCAGCAAACTGACGAAGGTGCCTTCATCTCCTCTCTGACCCCATGGAGGCATCGGTGAGCG